AGGAGTTGGTTTTGTTCTAAGTGATGAGGCCATGAGGGTCACCAGCCAGCCCCTTTCAGTGAGGGCCCCTTAGCAAGGAAGCATTCAGTCACCTGGAGTTAGGGACAGGCTCCTGGCTGGAGTCTGGCAGACCCAGTCCTGCTTGGGTGTGGAGCTCTGTTTCAGCTTCTCCCACTATGGAATCTCTATTTCCTTATTCACAACACACAGGGTGTGGGCTCTGACCTCCCACTGCTGACATCCTGGCCTTCTTCTAAACACACGTGTGCATGCATGCTCAGTGGCTCAGTCATGTCTGGCTCTTTTGTGACCCCATGGATCGTAGCCTGCCAGGCTCCTCACTCTATGGAACTCTTTGGGCAAGAATACTTGGAGTGGGTTGCCATTTCCTCCTCCAGGGGACTCTTCCCAACCCAGGGAAGAAACCCATCTCCCTTGAGTCTCCTGCCTGGGTAGGTAGGTTCTTTACCACTGAGCTACCTGGGAAGCTCTTCCAAGAACATGGGATGCAAATATATAACCTCTACACATATCAGCCACTAATCCACATGTAGGAAAGCCTTGACCACTAGACCATGAGGCTCTGGTGACCATGCTCCATGGGTGGCAGGTGACCACACAGAGAGCAGGAGGCCCAAGAAAAAACCCAGGGAATGTCAGAGAGCATCCTCGGGGTCAAGGTCACCCACCCCTCAGAGCCGAATCTCCACTTATCTGATCCCTAGGTGTCTCAGCCATGAAATTAAAAGACACTTGCTCCTTGAAAGGAAAGCTATGACAAACCTAGATAGCATATTAAAAATCAGAGACATTACTTTGCCAACAAATGTCCATCTAGTCAAAGCTATGGTTTTTCCATGTATGGATGTGAGAGTTGGACTATAAAGAAAGCTGAGTGCTGAAGAATTGATGCTTTTGAGCTGTGGTGTTGGAGAAGACTCTTGAGAGACACTTGGACTGCAAGGAGATCAAACCAGTCCATCCTAAAGGAAACCAGTCCTGAATATTCATTGGAAGAACTAATGTTTAAGCTGAAGCTCCAATACTTTGGCCACCTGATGTGAAGAACTGACTCACTGAAAAAGACCCTGATGTTGGGAAAGATTGAAGGCAGGAGGAGAAGGGGACGACAGAGGATGAGATGGTTGGATGGCATCACCGACTTGATGGACATGAGTTTGAGCAAGCTCTGGGAGTTGGTGATGGACAAGAAGGCCTGCAGTCCATGGGGTCACAAAGAGTCGGACACGACTAAGTGACTGAACTGAACTGAGATGTCTCAGGTGCCAGGTATGACCTTGGGGAAACCAGCTGGTCTGACCCACCTCACCTAGGGAATTAAGCTGTGGAGTCTCGGTCAGCACAGGCCCATGGCCCCCAGAGGACACAGGCCTTCTGAGCGATGCTAGTTAAACTGAGGTCCTTCCACCAGTCTCTGTGTCTGAGTGGGGAGGGAGGTGGTGCTTATGGATGTGAGGGGAGAGAGAGCAAAACTCAGAAGAGCATTTACCTGAGAATGACATGACCTGCAGGTCAGCAGTGCACACGTGTGCAGCTCTGTCTGGGGGTTGGAGATGTGTGTGTTGGTGCAGACACACATGTATGACTCCCTGGGCACGTGTGAGAGTGAATGCAAATACCGGGAAGGCGGGGGCTGAGTCTAGCTCCCTCCCGGCTGAATCCCCAGCACCTGGTGCGTGGTGTGAGATCAATAAACAATTGTAGAGTGAATGCCTAAATGTGTGCTCGCGTGGAAAAGTTAAAGTTATCTGTTTTCTAACTTGACAATCTGTTATTTGAGCTTCCTGCCCAGGAAATACATTGAGAAAATACTTGGCATAGTGGTCCACACCCACCGTTTCTTTTATTTATTTTAAAAAATTTTATCGATGAACAACATACATACGTGAAAGTGTGCACATCACCTGTGTACATCCATGGACTGTCACAAAATGAGCACCCAAGATGGAGAATAAGCATGTTTCCAGCACCTGTAAGCTGCCACAGGCCCTGTCTAGTTACTATCCTTCACGAGTAACCTGTCTTCCAGCAATGTAGACTAGTTTTGCTGCTTGTCTTGACACTTCATACAAATGCAATTGTGCAACCGGTACTCATCTGTGTTGGCTTCTTTCACTCAATAATATGTTTGTGAAAATCAGCCACATTGCCCAAGGGAAGTTGTAGACTGTTTATTTTCATTTTTATGTGGCAAGGTTTGGCCAATTTGTTCTGGAAAGAGCCAGAGAGTAAATACTTGAGGCTCTGCAGGCTATACTATTTCTTCTGTACCTGCTTATCTTTGCTAGTTAGTGCAAAAGCCGCCTGAGACAGTATGTAGTGGACGGATGTGGCTACATTCCAATAAAACTTTATTTACAAGACAGGAAGTGGTTGGATATGATGGTGGGCTGGATTTGCCCATCTCGTCGTGTGGTATACCTTTCTGGGGGTATGGTGCAATCTTTCTGTTTAAATGGTTGATGGAGATTAGTAGTTCTCAGTTTTGGGTTGTTACAAAGAATGCTACTGTGAATGTGCTCTCACCCATCTTTTGGCACACATATATCCTCATTTCTGTTGTGTGCATACCTAGATGTGGGATCTCTGGGTCCTAGGAGGTATTGTAGGATGAGGAACGGTAGCACTGATGATTCTCCGTTAGGTAACCTCTTGGTTTTTGACTGTGCAGCTGTCTCCTCCACTTCCTACATGCTGTTGCTTTGTATTAAAGTAATGAAAGTGTTAGTCTCTTGGTCGTGTCCCAACTCTTTGCGACCCCATGGACTGTAGCCTGCCAGGCTCCTCTGTCCCTGAAATTCTCCAGGGAAGAATGCTGCAGTGGGTGGCCATTCTCTTCTCCAGGGGACCTTCCTGACTCAGGGATCGAACCTGGGTCTACTGTATTGCAGGCAGATTCTTTACCGACTGAGCCATCAGGCACCTCTTATTTCTGCCCCAGGACCTGCTCTCAGGGGCTGCAGCATCACTGCAGAGACACAGGGAAGGCAGTCACCAGCTTGCAGGAAACAAAGTGGATCCGTGGTGCAGCCAGGGACTGAAGGACTCGCAGCACAATGACCCAGAAGCTCAAAGGGAACAACTCAGGTGACAGGTTTTATAAGCTCAGCTCTTCTCTTTGGTACATTTCCTTTTCCTGCCATTTCATCTCCCATTTCCTTGACCACAATAGCCTGCATTTCCTGGCAAGCAAAGAGGGCCTTATCTATAAAATGAAAGAAAATTTGGGTCTTTAAGAAGACTAGTTGGAAACAGCTCTGACCTCTGTTTCTAAACAAGGTGACCTGTTCAGTGAAGCCCATGTTCCCTTGAGTATCTTCCTTTGAAGACTCCTAACCTAGCCCCTCTCAGCTCAGCCCAGAAAGCCAATGGATATGACTGGGTTTTTGTAAGCACTAGCTTTCCAGCATTCCTTGGCCATGGTAGAGACCAGCATGCAACTGGATGGCTAAAAAAAACTCATTCAAGTTCAAACTCTGCCTGGACCCTCAACATTCTGTAACTGTGGGGAGATTATTTAATCTTCCTGTGACTCAACTACTATACATTAGCTCATCTGATTCTCCCAGTGACAGTAAGGAAGCAGGCACTGTTACCATCCTCACTTGACAGATCCAGAAACTGAGGGTTTAGAAACAGCAAGGACTTGCTTGAGGACACACCCATGTCTGCACCCTGGACTCTCCTGTTAGAGACCATCTGTTGCTCTGAAGCGCTAACCCCAGTTATGCGCCAAAATGGTTTCCTTCGGAAAAGTCACCATTTGTGCTATTTGTGCTTTTGAAGTCCTGGGTTTGGCTAATCAGGAGCAATCTCCTTTTCTTGGAGAAATAATTCAGTGTTGGATGCAATCATGGAAAAAGTGAGTCCCCTCCAAATTCTTGCAATGAGACAGCGGCTGAGGACAAAATGTTGAGGTCTTTTGAGGAGACAGTACCTCTTAATAAGTGGAGATGCTTTTTTTTTTCCTCAGTGGAAAAACCTGCTGTTTCAAATTTCCAACAACTGACTTTCTGTTCAAATACTGGCATGGAGCGGGATTTTCATGCCACAGGCCATCTCTGGTGTCATGGCTTTTCTGATGAACTACACCAATACTGAGCATCAAGGCAGCCAGGAGTGAAACTGGTATTTGCAAATGCATTTCCACTTCCTCAGAAATAACAGATGTTTGCTGGAAAAAATTAAAGTTGCCTAGTTGATTATGAACTATCAGAAGCAAAGCACTGGCTGTCCTCAGTCAGGTCTCCACCTTCCTCATGATGGTGTTTTGTTCTGTCGGGAAACTTATCAAGTGAGTCTAGTGCTTTTGTTGGCATCACCTGAAGAGTGTGCCCATGGAATTTACCCGTAGGAAGTTGGCAGGTGGTTTTCCGTCTGGGTGTTTTTGTGAATTAATCTGGTTGAAAAAACTGTCGGGAAGGGCTGGGTTTGAAGTCTGACCAAGAGATCACCCTGTGCTTCAGACTTGTTCTTTGAGCACTGAGTACATAAGGAAGCCTTTACATCAACGCCGGAGTGAAACCAAAATGGCGCCCCGCAGCCGGAAGCCGCCATTTTCATCCGTGCACTACTGAGGCTGGGAGTGGTGGGTGATGGAGTGACTTGGAGGTCACGCTCAGAGCTCGGGAAGGTCTCAAAACTACAGAGAGTGGCCTGTGGATCCTGGAACATCGAAGGACCCCTCGTCTGAGACCCAGAGCCCAAGTATACAGGACTATGCGCCGACCAGAGACCAAGGGTGGGGAAGACCTCCCCTCCTCAGGCAGCCTGAGTTTGGGTAGATGTGAAGCAGGACCACCGTGTCATGCGAGAATCCCTGCTTCCACCCGCCCTTTCCCACCTGGGATTTTATTGAAGATCATTTTCTTAATCATTTCTGGTGGGCTGTCCGCAAGGAGGTGGGCAAACCCTCGCCAGCTCGTCTTGAAGCTGTTTGGAGGGGTGTTGCAGAAAGGTGCAGGGACGTGTTGGCAAAGGCAACTCCACAAAACCATCCAAGGAGCAAATCTGCTTGCGGGAAAAGGGTCAAGATTGTTCCAGCCGTCGACACTGGAAAAGCCAAAGCCACTCTTCCTCACCCAGCCTCGGCCTGGCTGTAGATATAACCCAAAGAGAGCACCTCACTGGTGTTCTGGGCCCTCGGGTCCACGGTCAGCCTCGGGTAATGGGCAGCCTAGGCTGCGAATGAGGTTTGGAGTCGAAATCCATCTGAGGCCTCTCTCCCTGCCAGTGTCTACAGCTTAATAATTGCTTCCTTGCTCCCGCTGCATTCGGGTTCAAGAGAGGCGCCAGCCCCTCCAGCAGCATTATGCAAATAGGGCCCGGTGCGTTCCGGCAGCGGCATATAGAATATGTAAATTTATGGTGGCGGTGGCGGAGGAGGCTGCTTAAGACAGAAGATTTCTCAATGATGAAATTAGATTTTCTGGAAAGAAGCTTCCGAGGACCGGTCTCCTGATCTCCTGCCTCGTGCTGTGCCTTAGCCACCAAACCGGTGCTCTGGGAAATAATTAACTGAATTACAGGCTCAAACCTATTTTCAAAAAAAAAGAAAAAATAAATAAATAAAGAAGGAGAGGAGAAATAGACCAGGTTGCACGAGGCCACAACAAATCCATACTTCACGGAGCATGTCAACAGGAAGGGAGGCCGGGAGGGAGGGAGGCGGGCAGTGGGGAGCGGAGGGCTGTGGTTGGCAGGAAGAACTGGCACGAAGTGGGCAGAGCGTCCACCTCCCCCTGGCCTGTACGCGGGGAAGCCTGGGACGGTGGACCTGGCTTCTGCTCCAGGCTAGCACCGCCGCTTTCTATCTGCTTTAGGTACCTGCCTTCTCCCGACTTTGTTTACAAGAAAGCACTTACGTCATTTTTAAAAAATTGAAAAATCATTCGTGTAGACCAGATCAAGCTCGAACATGTATCAGACTTACCGGAGGGCTTGTTAAACACAGACTGCCGAGTGCTCCTCCCAGAGTCTCTGCGTTGGTCCAGGGAGGGCTCAGAACTGCTCATTTCCAACAAGTTCCCGAGGGATGGTGATGCCGCTGGCCGCGGGAGACACCCTGAGCATCGCTGCTCTAGACTGAAGTCTTTATTGGAAAGACGGGGGCCCAAAGAGTTAGGTGACTTGCCTCAAGTCACCCAGTGGAGACAAGACCAGGGTACAGAGTTGGCTTTTTCATCATCATCACCATCATCACTGTCACTGTCATCATCTTTGTTGTCGCTGTTCTCTGTTGAGAGCTTTCCATGTGCCAGGCACATATACTCCTTACTTCAGTTAGCTCTTGGCCCTAATTCTACACAGGAGCTGCACAATTATTCCCAAAGAGGTTACTGTTATAGACAGAATGCTTGTGTTCCCCCTTCAAATTCCAGCTTTGAAGCTATAACCCCTAGTGTGATGGTTTTTGGAGGTGGAACCTCTAAGACGTAAATAGGTTTATTTTTATTTTTTTTTTAAATATTGATTTGAGATTCTTTTTTAAAAAAGTATTTGAATGTGTTACAATATTTCTTCTGTTTTATGTTTTGGTTATTATTATTATTATTATTATTATTATTATTATTATTATTATTTTGGCCTTGAGGCATATAGGATCTTAGCTCCCCCAACCAGGGATCAAACCCACACTCCCTGCACTGGAAGGTAAAGTCTTAACCCCTGGACTTCCAGGAAGTCCTGGTAAATAGGTCTAGATGAGGTCACGAGGGCGGGGACCCCATCATGGGATTAGTGCCCTAATAATGGTAAGAAAGGTAAATATCCCTGTCTCATACACACACGTATGCACTCACATTCTCTGTACATGCACACACAATCAGGAGACAGCCGTCTATAAGCCAGAATGAGAGCCCTCACCAGAGACCGAATCTCCCGACATCTTGATCTTGAATTCCCAAGGCTCCAGAGTTGCAAGAAGTAAATTTATCCTTTGAGCCACTCAGCCTTTGGTATTTGTTGTAGCAGCATAAACCGACTAAGACCGTCGCTGAGGCTCAAGTTTAAGTGGCTTCACCTCCGGATCCACAGGTTTCATATCTGTAAAATGGGGACTTGTGACCAGAGTATTGGGAGGATTCAGTGAGATTTTACGCGCAATGTGCTGGGCACAGAGCCTCGCACTACAGAAGGGGCTCAGTCACTGGATTATAGTCGTCATTATTGTTCTTTAACTCTTGTTATTAATTGGGTGGTGGAGACTGGGGCATGGAGTGGGGTCATGGAGTGAGCTTGGGAATAGGAATGAGGATCTTGTGTATAGTCCCAAGCCCTAAACATGCCTGCTATGAGACTTGAGCATAGGACACTCCCCTTCTCTAAGACCCAGCTTTTGCAAAAAGAGTGGGTGGAGCTTGGTGGTCCCAGGACATGCCCAGCTGTACCATCTCCGACTCTATCATTCTGAAGGTGGGGCCATCTCTCACCCCCATGCCCCAGCATGGCTGTCCTCCTTCTCCTGGACTGTTGCTCATCCTCCTCCTGACCTCCTTGCTCCAGTCTCAGCCTAGCTCCACTTTGTCAAAAGTCTCAGAGGGCAATCTGATACTCAGACCCTTCGGTGGCTATTTCCCTTCTTTGGATCAAGTCTGAGCATCTCAGCCTGGCATCCAAACTCCTTCACGCTGCGGTTTCTCTCTGCCCCTCATCTCCTGTGTCTCCTGCTTACACTGTTTTCCACTAAAGCACACAAGTTTGTGTCAACCCTCGGGAACCATGCTCTTTCCTACCTTCATTCTTGCTGCCTTCTGCCTGGCACTCCGCCCCTGCCCTTTCTCTCTTTGTCTGTAAACTAGTTGAACTTCAGTGCTCAATGCAGATATGTTGGGCCCTGAGAAACCTTCCCTCACCTACCTTATTCCTGTCTCCAACCCCAGGCTCCTGGATGTCCTTCCTCTGAGTTGCTTGGCGGCATCTCGTCCTGGTACTTAACGCTTTCTAGTGTAAAAGTTACTGCCTTTCTTGCTTTTTCTACTGGACAGTGGCTAGCTCAAAAGAAAGAGATAAACTTCTTAATCAGGGGTCTTAGGAGTTTTTCTGTCTTCTTGTTTTCTTGATCTGCTGTCTATAAACATCTTGAAAACAGGGCCTTATATATTTTTGCTTGCCACTGTAATTGCTGCTCTTATTTTCATACCTGGCACGTGGTAAGTGTTTAATCCTTGAATTAATAAATCTGAAATCTCTACCCATTTTTACAGATTCCTTATTAACCATTCTATCCCTGCAGCCTACCAAATGCCTGGCATGGACATGGTCAGGAAATGGTTACTGCATGAATGAATAGGTAACTCAAATGCATGACTACATTTATACCTGTATCAGTCAGCTGTTGCTGTGTGACAAACAGCCACTAAATCTCAGTTGCATGCAACAGTAAGCATTTATTTTTCATCTAGCTGTATCCTGCGAGTCAGCTGGGATAGCTCTGAGCCACAGGTGGTGTCTAGTTCAGCTCCACATGTTCGTTATCCTCTATGGACCTGCAATCTAACTAGAATATAGGGGGGCAGAGGTACAAGAGGAAAAGTGGAAACACACATGGTTTCTTCAGGTCTCATCCCAGAACTAGTACCTTGGCCCTTCTATTCCAGTATCATTGGCCAAAGCCAGGCATGCGGTCAAGCTCAGTCAGTGGAGAAGGATGTATCCTCTAAGAGGAGAGGTTTCAAAGTGTCAGGGTAGAAGGTATGGCTATATTGAAGGGTGAAGGATCAGGGTCCATAAATCTGTCTACTCCAGTGACCACCTCCAGCATCTAGCTTTGAGCTCATGGCACACAGATGCCCCTCCCCGTGACTTCGGAGACAAAGTGACCATGGTGACCTGCCTCCATCTTCATGACACTAAGACATCTCTGCACTTTTTGTACCTGACACCCTCTTTCATCTCCCACCCTGCAGTTTTCAGCAATTTTTCTGGAGGCCACCCTAGACAATCTCTGGGTCTCTGCCCACTGGCACCGCTGCGCCAGGGCATGTCACAAGCACAGCCCCCAGCTGGTCCTCCTCCCTGTGCTTCTCCCAGCCCGCAGCGCTTGTTGTGAGGGTCCCCTGATGCTTAATGCATGAGCGCCTTGTCCTCCCTGCGGCCGTCGCAGGCAGATTCTCTCAGCATGGGAACGGCCGTGAAATCAGATGACTGTACAGGAAGCAGCCTCCCCACACCCCCCACCCCCGCCCTGCCTCCCGCCTTCCAATTGTTGTGAGGCTGCCTTGCTTCGACTCACTTCCAGTTTTGTAATCTCTTTTATTAATGTGCCGGAGGCAGAGAAAAATGCATTTGTAATTTCCCCTTAATGGCTGGTGGAACTTCTTTTTGCTTTCTTTCTGAGCATTTGTTTGTGGCGCGCGTGCACACACACACACGCACACACACACCCTACTCCAGATCAGGATGAATTGGGTGGCCAGGCAGTGACTGTCAGAGCACAAACACAGCATCTTGGAATATCCCAGCAGGAAGGGGGTCTGGGTCTCATGGCTGCCGCGTTGCGTTCCCAGAGCCCTGTTCTTCCTCAAAATAGCATCAGAGGGTGCTGCAGGGTGAGAAAAAGTGTGTGTGTTTGGGGGTGGGGGTGGTGGGATGTTTGGCTCTTCCATGGACCTTGCCTCAATCAGAGCATCTCTGCTTTGCACGGTTTGTATACTGTGGTTATACACAGGCTTGTTTGGAATTAAGGCAGCCACTTCTGTACAAAATATTCAATAACCCCTGCTTTCTCTGCCCCTGGGTTCATAGAAAGGGAAACCAAATCTCAGAGAGCCTGTGACTTATCCAGAGTCGCAGAGTTGGTGAGGGGGGGGGTCTGGGGTTAGACCCCCAGTGTCCTGATTCCAAACTTGATGCTTTGGCTTGCAAACATGTTGTGCCTCACACTGCTGAATATTTTCCTCAAAATGGTTCAGTATGTCTTCTAAGTACATTGACCGTGGAGGCTTGTGCTAAAGGGGAAAAAGCCATGGTGAGGAGGGTCTCCTTTCCCTGCTGTGAAGGAGCTGACATTTACTGATCACCTAGCCTGTGCCAGGCACTGAACTGCGGGTACTTGACACGTACGTTGTCTAACCAGAACCCCGCACCTGCTGGAAATGATTCTTAGTGGTAAAGAACTCGCCTGCCAGGGCAAGAGACATAAGAGATGCGGGTTCGATCCCTGGGTCGGGAAGATCCCCTGAGGAGGGCATGGCAATCCCTCCAGTATTCTTGCCCGGAGAATCCCAAGGACACTGGAACCTGGTGGGCTACAGTCCATCGGGTTACAAAGAGCTGGATGCGACTGAGTGGCTAATACTTTTTTCTCCACA